TAAATTTTTAGGTCACAGTTGAGTAATTGGTCACATATATTACCAAACATTTGGTCACAGATTACCAAACATTTGATCACATACTACCGTCGCTTGGTCACAGGTCACAGATCGACCAACACAAACTAACCAGCCACAGGACGAAAATTGAACCCCAACAACAACAGATCCGCCGCCACCAACGACCGCAAACATAAACAACCAACCACCAATCCGCCACCCCACAGATCCGCCAACAGCAAACGACCACCAATTCGCCACACCCACAGCGTCGAAGCAACACACCCGCACACCCCAACAGCGTCGCATAACACACCCACTACTACGCCACCGCAAAATCACAACCAAAAAAATCACCACCACAAACCACCACACCCACAGCAGCGTCGCGACGCTGCTATGGGGTCAGACGCTGCTGCGAATCACAGCAGAGGGAGGGAGAGGGGGAAGAGAGAGGGGAGGGGAGAGGAGGGAAGGGGGTAGAGAGTGAAAAATTAGGGTTAATAATTTTTATATATCACCTTATTTTTAAAGAATGAAACTTGATCCCTGATTTTTGAATTTGAAACTTTAAACACCTGTCTCTATGTAATTTCCTCTCAAATGAAAGCAACCCATTGGTCCCATTCCATACACACTTACTAATCCTAATTCCTCGACGCCCCCAACAAAATCTTGGCTGTCCATGTCCATGTCCATGTCCATGTCCATGACCATGACAGGGACGCAAGCTAAAATTAATGGCAAATGTTTTAGAATACAATTTCAAATTTAAAAAATTTATGAAAAATTCCAAAAATCAAATGGTCGCATATGTGACCTTTGATGTGACCTATAATTTAATTGAGAGATGCCATGTGTATAGCCATTAGATGGTGCAAATTTACACCCATCACAAATTAGGGTGAATCTCACTAATTAATTTCTCAATTTAATTAAATAGGTCATAGTAATATACCACACAATTATAAATCAGGTACATAAGATCGTATCCACAACTTATGAGTCACAATCATGTGTTAAATTACAAATCACACAAGTCACATATTATTTCACAACCACAATTTAACTTGTCACGTTCACTATGTTTCTCACCCACTTCTTGTCTCTTGTTGTTCATCCAATTTCTCTATCGTCGTCGACCATTGCACCATCGCTCATCCCACCATTCTCCACAACCACCGCTACCATTATCACCGCTTCCATCACACTCTTCCAAACAATTTTGGTCTATTTAATTATTTTTATGGCAAATTTATAAGATTTTTAGCAAACGTCATTTATTTATTATCATACTGTAAAATATATTATGCAAATTGTAAATTAAAAAAAAAAAAAATACTATGTGTAAATGTACATACATCCTATAAGATGCTTTATTTTATAAAGTTTGTATTATATCCTCAGTAGTGCGTATTAGAATAAACGTAACGTAAAATACATCTTCTTAATTTTACTTCTTTAACATAAAATACCAAATAAAATGCTTACTATTAAAATGTTGCGCGAAACTTTCTATAGGGTTTGGTCCAAATCCAAATGCCGAAAACTCGAAAATGAGATTCAATTAGGCATGTCAAGATGTCGATACTTGTCGATGATATCATTTGTAAGCTACTACTTCTATAGAAAATGAGAGTAGTTAAAAGATGCTCATGCGCACATTGACCTAGAGGATTAAATATTGATGGAAAATTAACATTGTATTTTTATATTTTTTTTATATATAAATATATAACTGGCTTAAATTATGAAATAATGATTATAAAACATAATATAGAAAATTTTAAATTATTCTTGAACACTGACTTTATTATCAGAACAAACTGTGAGGTTAAGGGGGTGTTTGATGGATATTATTGAGCAAAGAATGTATTAAAAAGTAAGAAAATGTTATTGATGTGATTAAAAATATTATTTTATTGAAAAATGTATAGTTGAAAATGATTTTTGAAAGAATGTGTGTCAAATATGAGCTAAATTATTTCAGTGAAAATAAATTTATTTATTTAAATTGCAAGTCAACAACACATGCATATATATAGAAAAATCATCTCGTGACTCATGTAGATACCGAATTTTTAAATTATTCTTAAATACTGAATTTACTATTAGAACAAATTGTGAAGTTCAATTATTTAAGTGAAAATAAATTTATTTATTCGAATTGCATGTCAACAACACACAAAAATCATCTCATGACTCATATAGATGCTCTAATGCTCTTTCGACACATTTCAAAAATAATAGTTTCACCAAACCTAATCGTTGAAAAGTAACAAAGTTTGTTACCTAATTTATAAGATCATAATTAATAATATACCAATAAATTTTTCAGTCTTCTTCAAGCTTTTCTTTCTCCCAAGAATGCTCGTTTCTATCACGTACAAAACCTCACTATCACTTCGTTCTTTCATTTTTCCATGCTTAATGCTTATTTTTCCTACAATCACTTATTTCAAGAACCCCACTTCATCAAAAATCATCCTTTACTTATCTTATTCTTAATTATAATTATTTCCAATGACTTTGCTGCATCATCTGAAACAAGAAGAAGTCAAGAATCTGATAAAAACCCTACACATTACAATTTTTTCAGAGGGAGAAAAAGGGTTTTGTGGTGTGCCAATGATCCAAATGTATGCACAGATCCTGCGAAAAACCCTAATTTTGGATCATCCAAAACATGTTGTTTTCACAAGTTTTGCAAGGATATAATGAAGGATCCGAATAACTGCGGATCATGTGGCCGGGTCTGTGCATTTGGGCTTGTTTGTTGTGATGGAAATTGTGTAGATATTAGGAATAATCCTCTGCATTGTGGTGCTTGCTTCGAGGAATGTCTTGGGGAAAATAAGTGCTCCTACTCCATGTGTGATTATGGTGGGTAATTCTTATGCTTATTCTTGTAATGATTCATCTTTAAAAATAAAAAGTGGAAAAAATTTCGTCCCAAATTTATTCAATTATGCTTTTCGTACTGACCTATTAAAATCTTAGTATGTTTAGATCATCTCTAATGCGTTCTATGAATTGTCATCTAGGTGGTATGTAAGTTGAAATACTTGTGATTTACATGACATTGATGTTTTATCTATAATACAATATTGTTTTCGTGTGTTTTTTATTTCTTAAAATAGAAATAAAACCATATCCGATGATGCATAGGAAATATGAATTTTGCCGAGTCATCTATGATAGAGATTCTAATTTTAGGTGAATTTGTAGACAATGTCTGTTTTTTCTTTGTCACATTGATTTGATCAAGTCCTTTCTCATATTGTTTTGGTAGAGTTCGTGTCACATTGTATCGAAGTATTGGAGATACAAAAGATATGGATTTAATTAACGGCTTATTTTTTTATCATTTTAAAATGTTCTTAATTATTATCCTTAGCTAGGGGTTGTTTGTTAAGGCACAAATGGATGAGGAAATGTCTCGCGTGCGGGCTCTCGAAAGAGAGAACTCCCATAAGATATCAACTCAATGATCTCTATTCTAAGATGGGTAAGGAACCATTGCAACGATTCTCCAATTAAGGGAATGAATGCTTTCATTAGAATTTATTAAGGAAAAAAAAAATACTATTTGATGGAATATGTCAAGTAATGAAGGGATCGTGGCGTTTACGTCTGGAATAGAGGTTCTAGTCTTAGCTATGTCAACGAGCCGAGCAAAGCCAGGCCAAAAAAAATTAGGCTTGGCCCTAGCCTTAGTGGGCCGAGCCAGCTCGAGTTGGTTGTCTATTTATAGACATCAATGTCATGTAGATCGAGAGTCTTTCAACTTCCATACCACCTAGATCTTATTGTTATCAAATATGCGTTATGGTTCTTTTACTTCTCCTCGTTAGAATTATTGTAGAATTTCTTTGGCGACGTTGGTGTTTATAGTTTCATGCATCGACTTTAATATTATCAGTTTTCGACATTTACATTGTAATCTTGCAACTTTTTATGCTATTGCCTATGGTTATCTTGGATTATAACGAGTAGCAATTTTGTTCGGTTTGATTATCAAGAGAGTTTGATACTCGATTCAAATAGTGATCCAGAAAGAATTTTGTTTCGTGTTTGTTTGCCCGAATCTTTTTGATGAAAGAATTGATTACAAGACAGGAAGAACGACAAAGAGTTACATCGAATCTCATCTTCGTTCCAAGATCTTGACGATTTCAAGTACCCATCAAGAAAATTAGCATGTACTAATGATCGAATATAACGTAGGAAAATCAAAGGTAAACAAAATTGAAAGTTTGCAGTTGCTGAAGTGAAAATTTTCAATTATTTTGCTTGGGCTTTTTCACAATCATCACAGAGCAACGAGCATGGTGGCAGCAATAGTCACTTACACTTCCCAACACAGCCCTGAGAAATAAGTCATTTTTTATTTTGCATTAGATTTGTTCGACCTAAATTTATTGAGAACAAGACTTAGTTCATCGTATGTACCGTTTGAAAGCTCCATAGCCATGGCTACCAAGTGTCAAAACAGATGCATGAAATTTCTCTACAGCCTCACACATGACGTTCCTTGCGTCTCCTTCAATCACTTCGTACTGGACGTCAGTTACCTACGCCCACAAAATATATATAGAATTTTTGGACGAAAAATGGTAAAAGGTAAATTAATCTAATTTCGAAAATGTTCTTACTGATCTACTGGTGCAGAGATCCTTTGCTCTAGAAATGACCTTTTCTGCTGTCTTCTTTAGATCTGCTTCCACTAGATTTAGCACATCGGTGGATCCTAAACCTTAGAAATTTTCATCAAAAGTGTGATACATGTAATGTTAATAAGTCAGTGCTAGTGAAAGTTCAACACATTGTCTAATAGTTTAACCGGTTCAGTAAGAAAGACGTCGTTCATAGATACACATACAGGAAACATTTTGTGGGTCTAACATTTTAAGCTTTTAGACGAGATCGTCAACATATGTAGACACAGCAAACGTGGTGAGTGCGGGGGCGTGTTGATGAATAAATAGAGTAATACCAGGTCCACCAAGTCCAATAGCAGAAACAGGAGAAGTCTTGGCATGGACAATGATGAGCTTGAAAGTAGAACTTGAAGGAGGACTATAGAATTGTGTGAGAATCCATTCAAGTGCATAGAAACTGTGAGCACTTTCATCCAATGCCACTATCATCACTTGTTTATCTGCCATTTTCTTCTGATTTACATAAATTTTCTTTCTGCTCATCAAGCTTTTATAATTGAGATTTCTGTTATTGCAATGAAAAGTTTGTTATAAATTTGAGGTCTGTTACAAGTGTGTAATTCTTGAATTTCTCAAGGTTGTTTTGGTCTAGGACTTGGTCCAATGAACAACAAATATGAGATGACGAGAACAAAATATTTAGACGTGCAAGGAAAAAATTGATTTTAATTTATTACAGTTCCACGCACTGTTTATTTCCCTATAGGAGGATGTATGGGCCAGCTTAAAAGTAGCTTTTTTGGACAGTTGTTTCATGCAAGATTTTAAAAGGCAAAATAAAGTATGAGAAGACGACAATGTTAAAATAAAAATCACTCATCTTTTGACGCCCAGGCTCGCATTAACAAGTCTTTTGATGCCTAGGCTCGCATTCGTCACATCTTTCGACACCTCGTCTTTTCCACGTGCGAGACACCTTCAAACATAATGCCTCAGCTCGCCTAGACCGGCTTTTTCTTGCCTTCTAGAACATAACCCTACACAATTTGTGAGAGAAGCTCGTGTGGCAATGTACAATGGCTCACTTGTGTGATTGATTTGATTGTGATTTTCTTTTATAGAGAAGTAATGATAACGCATGAACATAAAATGGCTCGCTTGGAGACCTCTTATCGAATAAATGCATCTCTTCCAAAAGCCGAATAGCTATATAAGTCAAGGTCTGTTGCACACATTCTTGTAATTTAGTAGTTAATGAGACTGATTCCGAGTGAAATATTTTCTAACTGGCAATACAATTGTGAGTTCACTAGACACTAGAAGACTNGAGTTCACTAGACGCTAGAAGACTATACTGTAACATTAGAATTAAAAAGAAAAAAAAAAGTACAGAAAATGTATGCAAAACACTTCTCATACTCAATCCTGCAAATTCCAGTTTCACTGCTCAAGACAGACGTTCATGAAGAAGTATACGAGTCGCCAGTTCCTTAGCCGGGTTTCACAAACACTAATGCCAGCAACTGAGGATATAATCACCAGGATCTTGATTAAGACAAGCTATCCATTGTGTCCATGGAACCAGTGCCTCATGGTGTATATCATCGGCTTTTAAAAATCGATAGTACAGCATGGCAAATGAAATGCTAAGTAGGTTCATTGTTCATTACTCGGCTTTCATCCTCAAAATCTCTTTAACTGTCCTCCGCCTAAAATATGGCATGTGATCCTACAAGAAAGAAAACATAAATTTCAGGTCCAGTGAACATGGATTTCAGCAGAAAAGGAAAACAGCATCAGTTCATTAGAAATAAGATTTGCCACCCAAAATGAAGATAAAAGGAAATAATAAATGAGTTCGGACAACACAAAAATGAGGTGAGCAGTTATGCTTTGCATAAATAGAATCAAGACAGATGGTTGATACAGTAATTGGTGACTGTCCAACACAAAACAATTTGAAAGCTCCAAAAATGTACGTCATGGACCAATTCAACTCAAGAAAATCAAAATGTAGTCAACAGTATCATCTTATCCGTATCTTGCAAAAAATTATAGTATCAAGACAAACTCTATGAAGCAATAAGTTTCTCCAAACATAGTGCCATTCAAGCTGCTCCTGGGACCAATTCACCTTGTCCCAGTTAATTAAGAATTGTTGTTTCCACAACTGAGATCAAGGGTTCAAGATTGGTAATCCCTCCTCTCCACCAAAAAAAAAAAAAAAAAAAGGTTGCTTCAGGGTCCACTGAAATCTTTGTGGACAGTGAACAAATATACAAATTAATTTGATTTTAACATGACAGTGCCAGTCAATTGTTTATTACATGCTATCAGGTGATTAAAATAGCACCGTAACGAAATTTATAAGTTTCCCAGAAAATGAATTCCATTAACTTCCAAATACCAATTCCTCGCACTTGCAACTTGTTTAAAATTATAGGATACAAACAAGCTTGGAAGATTCAAAGTCAGACTCTAGGAACGTTAAAAAGAAAAATGTAAGATATACCACGGAGTAAATAAACGAGGAATGGTAAAAAGGAGAGACGTGCATCAATAAGAAAATCCCCCGGCATAAGGCTTACCTGGTTGAAACATAATCCTATATCTCTGCTATAGAAATCGGCATACTTGATCATGAACATGCCACAGTCAAACCTGTTTGACACAGCAGTTTAACACAATTAAGAATGAATAAGATTCAGTTTTCCCTTATTCTTTCGGAAGCAAAGAGCAAAATAATCCCTTTCTCCCCTCACAGAAATGCTAAAACTAACGGGGACACTTATTTACAGCCATAACTATACCATATCTGCACGAACAATTATTTTGATAATTATTAAGAAAGTGACGAAAGTACAAACATTTTTTATTCAACTTTGTGAGAAACAACTTAGCATGTGATCAGTTTCTGCTGTACTAACCAAACATCTCTCTAAATTTTAAATGGGATCTAAACACTTTTCCATTTCCATCAGCTAAATGATACAGACCAAACGTAGTCTGGAAGACAAAGAAGCATAAAAGAAAGCTGTTAGTGAGAGAGAGAGACATGATAATCTAAATACGTGCACTTCCTCCTCTTTAGAAGAACATTCTTTTTTGCTATTATCTATCATTTCAGGAAAAAAGTGTTCTAATACAAGAGCTGCACACTTACCCATTTTCCTGCTCAGGTAGGTCATCTACATATTCTTGCTCCCATGAATTGACATCAATGTCATTTCCACTCTTGTCCTTCACTTCATCAAGAAAGTATTTGGCCTGCATTTGAAACTTATATAAGGAGTCTTGACTATGGAGCAAAATGGAATAAAATCCAACTCACAATTAAGAACGCAGATGCTTTAATAAACAAAGTTCTCCAGCACCCAGAACGCATACAAAAGCAAACTCCTTGGAAGATAAACCAATGCCCATTGTTTGGCATCTTATTGACCACCGTTCGGTAAACTTTCAAATAGAAAAACATTAGTATAGTCCAAAGATTTTCCTTTAAAGCCAATTTCATCATTGAGTTCTCTGGTATAGTTTCCACTTTAGAAATAGCAAGTTGTTCGGCTATCCTCTTAACAGCCCTTGCATTGACCATGTCTCACTCTACAGAGCAGCAATAGACCGCCTATGCTTTATGGTTCAGAGTGTTAGGCCATTAAAAGGGTAAGATGTCCATAAGATTAATCTAGCGGAAATTAGGATGCTAATATGGATGCGTGGCCATTCAAAAATAGATAAGATAAATGGAGGTGCCCACTGACTGATGATAAACTAAAAGAAGGAAGACTCGAGTGGTTTGATCAGGTTTCGCATCAACCTCAAGAGCTTAAAGCAAGTTAGAAGAGGAAGGGGTAAATCAAAATCAACATGGTATTTTCTAGTTGCTAAGGACGCAAATCTAGGAAGGAACGAGTATAAAGATTCACGCACCCGACACCAAAGTTACTGAGAATAAGGCTTTGCTTGTTTTTGCTGTAGAACTAACTCCCTCTGCCCTCCTTTGTCCATTTTAAAAAAAAAAAGACAGAGAGAGAACCAAAGGTACTGTGTTTACTTCATAATTAATAAGATAGCAAGCATACCAGTACTTTCATTTCTTTTGCATCAACTCCTCTGAGTGAATCAAGATACTGAAACTTTTCATCCTTTGTGTTTATAACTGCTAAACACCAATGTACTTCTTTGTGGATAGGCACAAAAATCTGGATTAAAAAAAAAAAAAGGCAAGCAAATGAGATAAAAAAAACTGTGCAATGGAAAATAAGGGACATTTTTATGGAGAAAAGTAAAGAATGTTTATCCTTAAAAGAGAAAACAATTATAAGAACTGACTTTATCACACTCCAAGAGGCTATATCCCAGCTTTTTTTGGGTAGTCCATCTTCTAACTGATTGAAAATTGTAGCCATCTCTACCACCAATTAGCTGAGAATAAACAAATGACCCAGACGATTCAGAACAATAAACTAGACCATCCTTAGTAGAATACAACTATAACTAGTTCATATGGAAGTTCGTAGGCTGCTAGGCTGTGAAGGTACCATGAAAAAAGGCCATAAATATACAAGCATGCGGAGCACATGCACCTGATCGAATGAGACGAGGTGCAAAAAGCTTAAATATAGAAGTAACTAAGCGAACAACAAATAAGGAATTCCATAAGGTGGGAGTGTACATATCAAAATTGGTTTGGATTATATAATAGAGGAAAGAACTCATGATTAGCTATTTCAACATGTTAAGGTAAGCTGTAAAGCAGTATAAGTTAAATTAAAAAAAATAGTAACTTAATAATATTTCCCAGCACATGTTAGGTTTCTTCAATTTTTCGAGGTCCACACTTTACCTTTTCATGCATGATTCCTTATGTTCTATATTAACAAGATTATGCCATCGTACAAGTAAAATCAAAATCTCTCATCTGGAAAGATTCAGTCCAAAAAAAAAAAAAATTGCAAATTAATGGAATCCATTATCGACATAAATGTCAGTTTGACCAAAAATAAAAATGAAAGAAAGCAATTCAAACGGGCATTGAAGTATGTGCCCAAGCTGATGGAATTAACCTTCTAACCCCTAGCAGATTTGAGCAGTCATGTGAAATAAAAAATATTCTCATGTATGCTCGAATCTGAAAAAATGGATAATATTGTTCTTAACGTGATGAAATGTTTTGATGGATTGTAACATTAAATATCAAATAAAAATGCCAAATTATCAACCCAATCAGGTCGACACACTACTAATAGTAATAGCATGTGTATAAAAGGTTTCCATGAAATATTATCATGAATATTAGAGGAAAGGACTGAGAGCAACGAACAGACCTTCTTATAGAAGAATGTGCTAAAGAAATGACATTTCAAGAACTTCTGCGGCTCTCTTTTTTCCCTTTCTTTCAATAAATCTAGATACAAATTAATGACCTGCAAAGTAAGATGAGCGTGAAACCAGGGCAGACAAAAGTCATCACAACCATCTGACTTTAGCTTTGTCCTGCTCACTAAAATCCTCTTCCATTTCCCTCAACACACACACACACACAAAAAAAAAAGAAAAAAAGAAAAAGAAAAAGAAGAAGACTAAAATACCTCATCATTCAACCATGCACCTGGTTTTAAACACTGCAATATTTCTCCAGTAATATCAATATTAGAATTCTTATGACTCACCAAAACCTTTCTCCTGTATAAGTTGAGCAGCAACAACATGCCAGGAAAAAAAAAAAAAGAGTAGATACATAGAAATCCAATCCAATTAAAGATGACGTGCTATTACACAAAATACCTATTGGACTTCGACAGAGCCCAAGCAACCTGAGCCTCTTCCTCCACAGTAAGAGGCTTAAAACATTCCTCGGGCACATGCTGCTAATCAATGAAACCCAATGTAAGGAAATAAAATAAATAACAGTCACACTGAGATACAGTATAATCCAGCAGATTTGCACAAAAATAACACATCCTGGAAGAAGTGATGTCAAAAATGTCACCTTCTTAGTTTCTTCCACTTTCTTCTGAGGCCGAAATAATTGAAGCCTTCGAAATAACTTTTCCTGTAACTCTATGGCAAAACCTAAAATACCCAGCTTACCATTCCTCTTCTTTGCGGAATCATACAGCTTCCTGTGAACAGGTACCCCCAGCACATCTGGTTCCTGGTTCAACAGCTTTAAGTGCATCATATTTCCCGTGGAATCCACCTTTACATTCACACAACTTGCATCCGATATTACAGAAGAATCCAATGACCGATCAACCATTTTCCCTTCAAGTTCCTGTGAATTTCCCAAAACACCATTCCCCTCCTTCCCCTCCTTCCACTTGCTCCTCGGAAAATCCACTACATCCACCTCATGAACACTCGAATCCTCTGATATATCACCTTGCCTTTCCTTCTCGTCATCAATCTCAATCACGTCTTTTTCATTCTCTTTCCCAACATACCTGAAAGTTCTCATTGCAATAATTCTTGCCTCTTCTAACTTTGATTTAAGAGTTCCATAAATATTCCCCATTTTAACAACTGAACTTTCTTCAAAACTAGAGCTAGGCTCAATTTTATTCTTACTTACTGAAAACCCAAATCTGTAACTCTTAACTGGAGCATGAACTTCCCTCGGAAACCTCGGTTTCGAATCTGGGTACTCAGAAATCCTCGAATTCACAGATTTTGCGGATAGGGGCCGATCAAAATCAACGGTATTTTGATTCGTGGAATTTGAGAGCCTGGGCTTCTTGGAAACGCGAGTGTACGAATGATCAAATAAGGGCGAAAACAGAGCTGGGGATTTAAAATAATCGTCACCGCGCTTACGGTTTATGGTTAAAGCCCCCATTGTCGAAGGGTTAACCGAGATACAAACCCTACGGGAGAATAAAGTCGACCCATTCAAGAATTCGCATTTTGTGGGCAAATTGGCATGAAATTTCGAATTCTCTATAAAAGGGGTTATCTTCAGTAATTGGGGATCCTCGTAAACAAAACCCTATTCAAGAAATTATTAGGGTATTGGAGCTTAACGACCCAGATGAACTTGGTGTATGTATGTGTGAAAAGTCAATTTACTCTTACAGCCAGGATTGGGAATTCTGAAAAGGCCGATGATTACAGTTCGTATAGGAACAGAAAAAAGAGTAGAAATATGGGGGTAAGTATCAATAATACTGTTTGTAGCAAGTGAGTTGACAAAGTTTGTTCACAAAGTGCCGTGTACGGGTGAGATGAATTGGGAGTGGACGGTTGGGATTTTAAAGATAGATGAAATGTTGGCGCCAAAACAAAAAGGAAAATGAAAAAAACAGTGCATTCTTCAATCTCCAAACACGCCTCTTTCTCCCCGTTTCCCCCTTCTCATCAAATTCATGGCGATTGTCGGATCTTAAATTGAGTTTCGATCTTTGTCGTCCAAGACCCATTTTCCCCAAATCAATCCGCATCTTCTCCCAGCAAGGAGCTCCAAAACGGCGCCAGAAATTGGAAACATTAAGTTTTAGAAATTGGTCTTCAACGAGCTCCAAGCAGTGTTCACCGGCTTCTATTTCACATTTCATGCATTTACTTCTAGTGTTCTGATTTAGTAGCCGTAGTTTCAACAAGAAGCCGTTTCAACGAATTGCAAAGGCGATTGTTCTCAGTCTCCTTCAGTGACTTGGTCATTAGGGCTATGGTAAGAATGTGATTTTAGTTCCTGAACTGGACATGATTGTTGTGAGTTAATTGTGAAATGGAATGTGGTATTCTTTTGAGCCAGTAAATTTACTAGTTGCAGTCAAGGGAGAGAAACGGAATGTGGTATTGAGCATGTAAATTTACCCCTAAGATAACCTTCCACAGAACACATAACCGTAAATTAGAAGAGTTGTGGAAGGTTATCTTAGCTGAGCACAAAACCGTAAATTTACTGGTTACAGTTACTGGTTTTTGATTCATTGGCTTTGGATTGGTAGAGTTGAATACTGAGATAAAGTAATCGACATTTCTTGTAATTCTACATGTTGATAGGTCACAATTTGTTCACAATTGTGACCTGTAAACCAGTAATAGCTCAACAAATTTCGACCTATTTTGAAATGATTTTGTTATTTTTTGGGCTTTTTGAACACCACAATAATGGGAGAGTGTCTATGTTTTGCAGGATCTGGCAAATATGGAAGTTGTTTTGAACGTCGATTCCGAAAATGAGAATGTGGGTGACAATGTGAATGTCATGGAAGATGAAACAATAGGAGGAAATAAAATTACCGTGCCTCAAGTTGGTATGCAGTTTAAGGATGAAAAAGAGGTGTATGATTTTTATGCAAAATATGCTTATGCCGTAGGTTTTCCTATTAGGAAGAGGAGTTCAGGAAGGGATGATGACAATGTTTTGAGATTTGTCACATTGACGTGTAGTAGGGAGGGACGGAGAATTGGTAGTCCAAGCACTTCTTTGAAGCCACAACCAACAATTCAGACGGGTTGTAAAGTTGGGATCTCTACATCTTTAGATATCCATGGTCACTGGAAGATTAATACAGTCTAACTTGAGCACAATCATAAGATGAGTCCTACGAAGTCCAGGTTGTACCGTTGCAACCGAGATTTGAGTGCATATGTGAAATGAAAGCTCGAAGTGAATGATGTAGCAGGAATACCATTGCATAAAAGTTTTCACTCTGCAGTTGTTGAGGCCCGTGGCTACAAGAAAATGACTTGCATCGAAAAGGATTGTCGGAATTATATCGAACAAGTGAGACGACTTAAACTTGGCGAGGGTGATGCGGATGCAATACAATCTTACTTTTCCGAAATGCAATCCCGATGCTCCAGATTTTACTTTAGTATTGACTTGGATGATGATTCGCGCCTGAAAAATGTCTTCTGGGCTGACAATAGGTGCAGGCAAACACATAAGGAGTTCGGGGATGTTGTGACATTTGATACAACCTATCTTACTAATGAGTATGATATGCCATTAGCGTAAATCATCACGGGTAATCAACGTTACTTGGTTGTGGTTTGTTATCGAATGAGAACACAGATACATTTGTGTGGTTGTTTAAAACATGGTTGAAGTGCATGTATGATCAAGCACCGTATGGAATAATTACTGATTAAGACAGAGTGATGCAAAATGCATTTGAGATAGTTTTTTCGAACACGAAACATAGATGGTGTTTGTGGCACATATTGAAGAAATTGTCAGAAAAGTTTGGATATCATCCGGATAAGGCTTCGATATTTTTGGCTATACATGTACTGGTTTATGATTCACAATTTGTTGAAGAATTTGAGGAAGGTTGGAGAGTGATGATATATAAATATGACTTACGCGACAACGCTTGGTTGTCTGGATTGTATGAAAATAGAGGGCGTCGGGTGTCATGTTTTTTGAAAACAACTTTTTGGGCTGGTATGTTAACGACGCAAAGAAGTGAAAGTATTAACGCCTTCTTCGTCGGTTACGTGCATTCGAAAACATCCTTGAAGCAGTTCGTCGAACAGTACGAGCGAGCATTGTGGAATAAGGTAGAGAAGGAATTTCAGGCCGATTTCAAGTCTTTCTCTCAAATGCTACCGTGTGCGACAACGTACGAAATAGAAAAGCAATATAAAAAATTATACACCATTTCGAAGTTCAGGGAAGTTCAGGCCGAATTTACAGGGAAGGTTTACTGTGACCTTATGTCTGCTTCAAAAGGATATCTGGGGACGACGTACGAGGTCTGTGAGGACATTATGATTGGTGATCGGCACAGTAGAAAAAAATATCAGGTGTTATTTAATCAAGAGCATTGTGACATCATTTGTAGTTGTCGTCTGTTTGATTTTCGGGGTATAGTATGTAGGCATGCGATCGCAGTGTTGATACGTAATGAGGTGATAGTGATATCGGATCGGTATATACTGCGTAGATGGAGGAGGGATGTTAGCAGAGCAAACACGGGGGTCGCTGTGAATTATGTTGGTATGGTTAGTACTCCTGCACAACTGAGGTATGATGAGATGTGTCACGAATTTGCCACGATTCCAAACCTTGCAGCAGATGATGAAGTGAGGCATCGTGCAATCATGGATTGGATACAACATCAAAAAAAAGATCTCATGTTGACAAAGTCGAGTTCCGGTAGTAATAACATTTCTCAATGTGGTTTGAATCTCAAACTCAAAGCAACGGTACTGTTAGGGATCCGATATCGTCGAAGAAAAAGGGAGCCCCAAAGACAAAAAAGAGAAAAAGAGCATTGGAGGCGGCGAACGCTAAGAAATCTAAGGTATTTAATTTATGAATCTAAAGCTCTTTTCACTTCATTTCATTCAATAATACCAAATTCATTTCTCTCAAAATGCAGGTGCGATCTAAATCAACGCCAGAATTGCAACATTCAATGTCAATGTTAATGCCAATGCCACAACAATATATAATGCCCATGCAAATGGCAATGCCATACTCATATTCGCAACTTTTAATGGTTAGTATATAAATCAACCTTTTTTCAGCCCAGTGTTAGTATATAAATCAACGTTATTTAATGAAAATCAAATGTGTAGAGTGACTTTATGAGCCCAGTGTTCACACAAGAAGTGTCGTCAAATGTGGGTTTGAATTCACAAGGTACGTATATATTTTATTTTCAAAGCTTGAAGTTGACAAGTAATCGACTCTTATCAAATTAATTTCATATGTCAGGTACCAAGAACCTATACAACGCTATACATTTTTCACATCATAGTGGCGCCATATAAAGTGAGGCAAACAACTAAGCAAACCGTCGTCCGATGAAGCAAAATGCAATCGAGCTTTGCTATTTATTATATTAGTCTGTTTTTTATGCTATTAATACCGATTGAACACTAATGTAATAAATGTTTTTGTTTTGTGTCATTGGTAGTTTGGATGATTATCGTTATAATAAATGTTTCATTTAATGAAAATGTACAAATTGATTAGCTGCAGGTTAATACTTAGAAAACATAAATACCCAAGCATTCAACAAGCTACTCATACTATAATTTCACAAATGTCAAGGTACATGAAGTAGAAATGTATACTTCACCCAAAATGTACCAATTGACTGCACTAGACTAGTCGACCAATTTCAAATTTACAAAATCCCGATATTAACAAAAGACGATCAGTTCACCGTAACTAACTAATTAAGCTCGACAGACCGTCACATTCACGGTCACAGAAATCAATAGCTCTTCTTCTTTATTTAGCCGAACTGTAGATTGGAACCCTCACGACATATCTTCAACTTCTTCATCCGCTTGTGGTTTTGCCCTAGTACCGCTAGATTCACTATTTACTTCTCCATTTTTACACCATTCCCAAAAGCCACACTTCAAACTACAACATTTGAAGACTCTTCCTTTGTTAACAGTCTCCTTTTCAACCTCAAAAAACTTCTGAAATCCATGCAAACACAGTGGACATAGACGCTTTATCGGGCAATCACTGAAGAAGCGTGAAACACACCTGCAACTGTGACAAACTCTGGAATTCTTTCCCGACATTATGTGTTCCTAAATCAAACCAATTTACATTTATGTCTACCAAATGTCAAAATAATAACATCATCATGTAAGATAATGTTAAATTGAAAAACAAGCATTTAAGATAAATTGAGAAACCAAAAAATTCAGCATTTATGTTCAATGTCAAACTGAAAAATCAGCAACTGTAAAATCAGCATCTACCATTCATCTGCAAAACCAATATTTTCAGTGCAATGTGAATCTGCAAAATCAGCCTCTAAGTTAAACCCCCCAAAAAATCAGCATCATAGCTCCATTTCATTGTCCTCAATCCAGCCTCTAAGTCTAACAACTCAATTTCTTTGTCCTCAATTGTTG